AGTTTGTCAAGTCTGGAGTGTGAAGGTTGTCAACTTGGAAAGCATTGTAGATATTCATTTAAACCTAGTAATAAAAGGTGTTTTTCTTCTTTTGATGTTATACATTCGGATGTGTGGGGACCTTATCATGTTCCTTCTATGGGAGGCTATCAATATTTTCTCTTATTTGTGGATGATTTCTCACGATACTCTTGGATTTACCTGATGAGATCCCGTGATGAAGTACCATCATTGGTGATGCAATTTCATTAAATGGTTCTAACATAGTTTGGAACAAGAATAAAGGTGTTCAGATCAGACAATGCTAGGGAATGGCACAGAAAGGAAGAACAGACACATTGTTGAGATTGCAAGAAGCATGATGAGCACATCTACAGTTCCGGTTCGGTTTTGGGGTGATGCAATTCTCACAGCAGTATATTTGATTAACAGGGTCCCCTCTCGTATACTTGATTCAACACCCCATTCAGTCTCCTTTTTCCCGAGGGGGAGATGATTTCTTCTCAAGGTGTTTGGGTGTGTCTGCTTTGCACATGTCCTTGGTCCTTACTGCTCAAAGCTTGATCCCAAGGCAAAGAAGTGTGTCTTCCTTGGATATGCAGAAAATTAGAAAGAGTACTGCTGCTATGATCTAATCTCTGGGACCCGATATGTTACCATGGATATCACTTTTTTTGAATCCACATACTTCTTTTCAAAGAATCCTTCTCAGGGGGAGTGTTTTGGGGAAGTGAGTCAACAGTCTATTCCTCTCCCAGTTACAGTCCTTGTGTCTACTCCTGTGCTTGACCATCCTGTGTCTACTCCTGTGCTTGACCATCCTGTGTCACCTACCTTACCACCTCCTTTGCATCCTGCTTCGCAGCATTACTTACGACAGAGACTTCACAAGGAGGTTGATTCCACTACAACAGAACTCACATCACTTCCTGTCGATTCCTTGGAGACTCTAGATTCGACTGACATGGATTCAGGTATTCCTCTTGGTCCCGTTACTGTTTCAGTTCCCATTGATTCTACTAACCCTGTTACAGATAACCTTGATCTTCCTATTGCTCTTAGAAAAGGGAAGAGAAAGTGTACTGCTCATTGTATTTCACAGTATTTATCCTACAGTGGACTTTCTCCTTCCTACCGTATTTTTCTTTCTTTCCATGACTCAGTGTCTATACCCAAGGGTGTTAGTGAGGTTCTCTCCAAATCTGAGTGGGAGACAACTATGCAGGAAGAGATGGCAGTTTTGATTAAGAATCAGACATGGGACATTGTGGATCTACCAGAAGGCAAGGAGACAGTTGGATGTAGATGGGTTTACACGGTAAAATATAAGGCAGATATGGAAGTATAGAAAGGTACAAGGCAAGACTTGTTGCAAAAGGGTATACACAGACCTATGGTGCTGATTACTTAGAGACCTTTGCACCGGTTGCAAAGATGACCTCTGTTCGGATACTTCTTTCTCTTGCTGCCTCATACTCTTGGCCCTTGTTTCAACTTGATGTGAAGAATGCTTTCCTAAATGGGGATCTGCAAGAGGAAGTGCATATGAATCTTCTTGTTGGCTTTTACAGTGATATTGAAAAGGGAAAGGTATGCATGCTTAAGAAGTCACTTTATGGCTTGAAACAATCTCCTAGAGCATGGTTTGACAGATTCAGAAAGGCCTTGATTGCTTTTGGATACACTTAGACTCAATCCGATCATACCTTGTTTGTGAAGCGAAGGGGATCTTTGGTGTCAGTCCTAATTGTTTATGTGGATGATATTGT